CAGAGACAAATAGGAAAACTCACAACCAAAAAGGTACCTAGAGAGAGATGCATGATTCATGATTCATGCAAAAATTTGGAAGCATTCTTCCTCAGGGCAGCATAAAATTGAAAAAGTTTCGTGCGTACAATAAGAAAACCATTCAAGAATTTATATTGTTATTAATTCCAGAAATAATATGACAAAGAAAGAGAAAGGAGCCTGGAGAAATTGCGATGATATTCTGCTCAAATCCGATCCAAAATTTCCGAACAAAACAATAACATAACCTCTATCTATCGCTTCTATAGTTTCTATCGTGCGTAGCCAATGAGAATTAGGCATTACGTCAAGTGACCCAACTTGGTCACGATTTTAATATTGACCTGCGGTTTTTTTTCTATGACACACAGGGTGTGCCAAAAATATGGATCCTTCTTATTGATGTCTCGAGAACGATTACAGATTATTGACATGCGGTTTGAACGAAATTTCCTTCAAAAAAGGTGGGCCGCTCTCGAGTGGGGGGGGGTGTCCAGAGGGTCGTTACCTCTCTACTTCGCGTCCGGGAACAACTTTTAAATTTAAAATGGGAACTCTCTTTGCCTGATACCTACTGCGTAGAAGTCATACCAAAAATACATGATATCCTTCCAAAAAAACAAAAATAGATTTTTGTACAAAATTTCGGCCCAATCCCAAAAAACTCTCTGATTATTTTTTTAAGAACAAATTATACCAAAAACATACGATAGCTCTGCCGTTTGAATTCATCATTTAAAAGTAGGTGATATCAAAACGGCCCAATTTCCCCCTTAATACCTATGCAATATACATCGCAAAGTTTTTTCCTAAAAAAAATCAAATACTTAAAAGGTATAATGGTCTGGAACACGTTTTGATTCATTGTTTAAAAGGAGTGATATCAAAACGGCCCAACTTCCCTTAAATTTGCCCACCTCGGGGCAAAATTATTCGAAACTTTCCAACTCATCACTTAAGAGACACCAACCACTACTTGAGTTTTAGTATATCTCTTCCTTTAAAAATCAAAGATGTCCCTTTGAAAACTGTAATGGTTTTTTCTCTTTAAAGATACAAAACACAAATAATCGTCATAAAGTTGAAAAAAAATTGAAGGAAAAAAAAGGAATGGGCCGGCCGGCACGTAGCAAAAACAAGTCTATACGTTACTACGTACCAACGTTTTGCCATGAGTTACAGACCTAGTCCTGCAAACATTGACTTGTTAGCAAAGAACCATTTTACGTATAGCTACGGTGAGGCACATGCCTATTGAAACGCCAATTTTCAGTAGGCAGTCTGTCAGGCTCTCTGTCACAAGCAAAGACATCGTTTAAAAGCTGTTGGTTGGTATATGAGAAAATTAGCTCTAAAACATCAGAGCTTCACTGCTGAGATAGTCATGAGGCACTACATCTGAATCAGTATCATCCAAATGTTGAAAACTGCTTGCAAATTCAGCTCCTGGAGAATGATTGAGTGTTGCTTTTAGAAAAATTGATCCTGCTTTCGATGACGAGGCACTTTGTTACAACATTTGCAGAAGAGACGAGAATCACCCTGTCACCTGTAACCCATAAGTACGGCCGGCCGGCCCATTCCTTTTTTTTCCTTCAATTTTTTTTCAACTTTATGACGATTATTTGTGTTTTGTATCTTTAAAGAGAAAAAACCATTACAGTTTTCAAAGGGACATCTTTGATTTTTAAAGGAAGAGATATACTAAAACTCAAGTAGTGGTTGGTGTCTCTTAAGTGATGAGTTGGAAAGTTTCGAATAATTTTGCCCCGAGGTGGGCAAATTTAAGGGAAGTTGGGCCGTTTTGATATCACTCCTTTTAAACAATGAATCAAAACGAGTTCCAGACCATTATACCTTTTAAGTATTTGATTTTTTTTAGGAAAAAACTTTGCGATGTATATTGCATAGGTATTAAGGGGGAAATTGGGCCGTTTTGATATCACCTACTTTTAAATGATGAATTCAAACGGCAGAGCTATCGTATGTTTTTGGTATAATTTGTTCTTTAACCTAAACCTAAGCTAACGGGTTTTCAAAGTCTTTGTTAACACCATGATCATCCAAAAATAAAAAGTTCTGACTTTTATGAAAGATGATCAAGGTGTCAACGATCACGGCATCAACGAAACTTAAAACTTCCCTCTATAACATCTTTCAAGTTTCAAGTCTTGTTCTTCTCGTGTTATTTACTTGTGTTATTACTAAAAGTCTCCTGAGAGAAAAGATCAATACATTATTATTGATGTGCGGCATGGTGCCCACGACCACCCGAAAATGTTGCAGCTTTGGAGAGCTGTAAGCCGAAAATTTCAAAAAGCAAGGTTATGTTTTAACTTCAGATTTGGATTCTATTCGAATAGTTACCTAGGGTAGGTGGGGGTAAAAGGCCGCATTTTTCCGTTTCGGCCGTCTGTAGGCCGCCGTATCGCGTGAAAATTTCTGTAATGTGGTAAAATATGTGCTAAAGACCCTTAGGCACAAAATGGCACACTTTCCTGAATTTTAAAAGCATTTTCGAATTTTTTATGAATTTTTTTCAAAAATTTCGTAAGTGCGGCCTTTTGCCCCGAAAATGGGGAAAGAGGCCGCACTTCCGGAAAAGTTCGTAAAAACTTCGGAAATGCATTCAAAATTCTGGAAAGTGTGCTATTTCATGCCTAAGGGGCTATAGTTGATATTTTACCACATTTCCAGAATATCCATGCGATACGACGGCTGACAGACGGCCGCAACGGAAAAGTGTGACCTTTTGCCTCCACCTACCCTACATTTTAGGATCTTTGGTAATTATTAATAATATTTAGTAAAATATGTAGTAAAAGATTTAGTATTGGTAGTATAAGTTGATAGATTAAGTATTAGTGCTATTTTAGTGAAGGCCGCATGCGGCCTTTTGCCCCATCGGACCTGCGGCTTTTTGCCCCATTTGATGACGTAGGTAACCATAACCTCTAAATTCAAAGACAAGGCCATTAGCCGAAAAGTGACGGCGGGATATTCAAACCATCCTTATCATTGTTCGAACTGCAGCTCGTCCGAATTTTTCTATCAATTATAAAACTTGAAATTGACCAAAATAAAACTGGAAAAATCGATTTTTTTTCACGAAAAATTAACTCTCCTCATATTTTCGAGGGAACGCGTCCGTTCGGTCCGAAACTTCGTCAACACAACAGCACCACCATGCACTACCAACATAACTAACACGGTTCCTGTGCCAACCTAAATTTTCGGGAAAAAAGTCGGGTGCGGCCTTTTACCCCCACCTACCCTACCTAAAATTGATACGACGCCTGGCGTATCCTATTTCTGTGTACAGCCATATCTCAAAATCTATTCGTTCAACTTCATTCAAAATTTGCATGGAGGGCCATATCAATGATCTCCTTACTTATGCACTTCAAGTGATGTTGAGGAGCGCCAAAATTTAGGGGGCCAGGGGCAATACATGATTTTTAGCAAATTCACCCTAAGTTCAATGGGAGCGTCACGTTATCCTCTCTGTTAGTTAAAAATACACACAATTTTAAGAAAGTTTGCGCAATCTTTCGATGTATCACTCTCATTTCCTCGTCGTTATTTGTCATACTATTATTGTAAATAGTTACTTCAACTCTAGCTGCACAGTCAACAGTTTCCCGCAAATATTGAGATCTCAAGAGGAGGGGGAGAGGGGATTCGTCAAGTGTTACGTAATTCTTAAAAGATGGTCCGAGGTTGCGTTACGAGGTGTGAAGGGGGAGGGGGGGGGGGTTCAAAAATACTACAAATAAGCGTTACGTAATTAATGAACACTCCCTTTCCAATTTAAACTTGGAAGTTGGTGTTCTGCCACGGCGAATACTATTGTCGATCATCACAGTCTCATACGTGCGGCCTCGGTTACTTCAGTTATTTTCATGTCTCAAATTATTTCGAAGAAATCAAAATTTTATCATGTACCTCTGACTGACAGTATGATACAAAATATGTACTTACCTATATACGTCAAAATTGTCGGTCCAATGAGCCCATGGCCATTATGGGCCCACCTATGGAGTTCTTGTCTTCTTCCTCTTCTTCTTAGGTATTCTTCTTCTCCTTGTTTTCTGAGAGATTTTCTTATGTAATGCCGAAACATAACTTCGGATATAATTTATCTCTCAATGGATGGGGCGGTCAATTTTTTAGCTTTTTGAGAACTTGTCTAGGCCCTTCAAAGTATTTAATTGGGGTCCTCAAAGTTCGGAACCGGTTTCTCAAGCTAACAATAGAGAGGAACTGCCCTTAGGAGTTCGAGCTCTCAAAATTTTATCACCGGGGCCTCTTGAAGGCACGTGCCTTTCAATAGGACTCCTTGGAGTCAAGTATCGGGAGTCTGGGCTCATTCCATGTGGCCTGAATGATCACTGAACTCCAGCCAACTCTGGGGACCTGCGCTTTTCATTATACCGCAATCAGACGCTGAATTTAGCACCTGAATGTGGAAGTCAACAGTCATCGCCCAACGGCTAAAATTTAGCAAATTCGAGTTATTTTCATCCAGATTTGTATAAAATCTACTCGAATAGTTCAGACAAATTCAAATTGGTCCGATGGTTGCTGAGAATCGTTGCTGAATTTTGCGCGTCACGCGCAAAATTCAGGCTTCGGGCCGATGACTTCCACATTCAAGCCACATTCAGCGTGTGATTGCGGTAAGGGTCCCATTCATTCAAAGGGACGTGGACCTAGGGGTATTTTTGGATTTCGCGACTCATTTCAGTCTTAGATTGGAACACCTAGGTTACCTTTGTGGCGCTTTGGAGCACAGTCAATTTCATTTCTCTATGAAATGCCGCTCATCTTGAGGTTTTCCGAAAAAAAAAATGTTATCCTCTAGTTTACCTAAACCAAACCTAACCTCCCACCTGTGCCATTCTGCCCTGAAACGTCTGCATAAGAAAGAGGGTTAACATAGACAACACAACATGATTGCTCTCTGATTTTTTCGGCAGGTTATTGGTACATTGGGTGGCTGTGCCTCGTGACAGTTGGGTACTTATACAATTCTTGGGTAATCCCTTTGAGGAACACTTTTCCATATCAGACTGGAGATAATCTGCTGACATGGATAGGAATCGACTACATCATGGATGCCCTATATTTTGTCGACGTTGTTTTCGTCAAACCCCGAATGATGTACCTCGAGGATGGTTTTTGGGTTCGAGACCCTCAACTCACTCGAAAAAACTACTTCAGAAAGTCTCAATTCAAAGTAAGTTTCTGTATGTACTTGTGTAATAGTGTTTGGAGAACTGCTGAAAGAGAGGACAAACAAAAGCCGGTAATGTAACCATGCATGAATACCATGCATGCATGCATTTTATTGCATGAATTAATTTTGGATTACGGATTTTGATTTATGGCTGGAAAATAATTTGTTTGTGGAGCGAGGAATCTGATATTTTGGACCCCCTGAATCCCCCCCTCCCCAAAAAAAGTCCACATCGATAGCGTGACGGGGTTCGGGTTTTTATTTGGGGAAGGGGGGGGGGAGTGCCTCAAAACCGTGAATTTTAATAAGACTTGCCTGCACCTCAAGGAGTCATGTCATGCACTTTAGAGGCATATACAAGGCAAAGAGGGTTTGGTATGCTTTTTGGTCCGATGAGTGACCATAGTTACCTGCAGGTGAGCTCTCAGAGAAATTGTTAAATCTGTTATCAACACGGGCTGAGAGTTTGCCTCTTAGGTCAACTAGGAGATTCATTCTCCGAGACAGCAATGGATGCTGTTGTGCAGTAATACTCTCTTTTTTCAGTAAAAATGGAAACAAATAAGAGTTTTGGAGGTATTTTGTTAGAGGATAGTGACTTGCCAGGAGTCTCTTTACCCAAGTCATTGGGTGGAAGTTTTTCTATGTACTCCAGGAATTATGCGACAAATTTGGCCAAATGAGGGTTAAAATTAAAAACAAGCTGATTTTTGGCATAGTGAGTCCTTATGACCCCCTGAGTCCTCCCAAAAAAGTCCCCTTCGATAGTGTGAGGGGTTTGGTTTTTTTCGGGGGCGGGGGGTGCCCCCAAATCGCGGTTCTCCGGTCATAACACGAGAACGGTTGCTCGTGTAACTACATATGGCAATATTTTTTGAATCCTCGTGGAATTCTGAAGGGATAGAACTCGTATTCAATTTTTTACGCCCCCGGAGCCTCTCAAAATCGTGAAAACATCGTTTCGAGGCACATTTTTGACATGCAGGAAAAGTTCGCTCGGGGTTGTTCAACGACATCGGACGCTGCCTCATACGTCACCAAGTGTGTACCACTAGGCGAAGTCATAGCTCGAGAATACTTTTCCATCAGAAAAATGGAGTTGGTCCAAACTCAAAACTTTCCTCAGTTCGGTCAACCCTTAGTAGAATTCATTCGAAAGAATTCATAGAAGAACCGTACCGCCAATTTGATTGTCCGTTGTGCTTCGGACCACTTGCATACTATGCTTTGCACTGTTGGTAGTTCTTCGATGACTGCGCTGCTCTGCACTTTGCCTTGCATTATCTTGATAACGTCTGTTGATCTTTCCAACTACAGGTTCATTGGCATCCATTTCTTGCACCTGACGTCTTGATGCATCGAACGTTTTGATGGTTTTGATGGCATTCTCCAACGTCTCATCCTGTTTCATCAATAGTTGGATTCTCATCTCTTCAAACTTTGGAAGCAAATTTGCAATCATAATCGCTTTGACAATTTTATCCCTTTGATTGTCTAGGTTAGAGGCCAGGCTTAAATTCTTCAAATTAGTAACAAACTCGTCCAGTGTCTCATCTTCTTTTTGTTTTCTGGTTATTAATTTGTTTAAAGCCATTTCCACATTCTTTTCTGGCTTGAGGTGTGCATCAAATAGTTTTATGAGTTGCTTATGTGTGAATTCGTCGAACTTCTTATTGAACGATGTATATATGCTTATGCGTCATCCCCAAAAGATATTGTAATAGCAAACAATTTCTTCTTGTGTCTGACTCTCCATCACACGTCGTTGCACACATGAAGATTTCAAAATGTGCCTTCTTTACCTTCCAGCGTTCAGCCATATTCGCTCCAATCACAATCTCCAGCGGCTTTATCTTGGCAGATATTGGTTTGGTTGATCCATGGGATGCTGCTCCTCCATCGGTCTCACCATTTGCACTTGTATTTGGCATTGCTCTTGCTTAGTGTTGGCACACGATTCTTGAAACTTTGCAGGCTACTTTGATTGATGGCACAATCTTAGGCTTCGATGGTCGTCACTGGCACATGGCAGTTGCACTCGCGACTTGCGATTTTTCCGTAACCGTACTTACTTTAGAGATCGCGGAAAACCATCGGGTTTTGGCACCATGTTATGTTCGATAAAGATCAACGCACTTTACGGAATTATAGTTTTATTCATCGTTACTCACAAACAAGCCATTCCGGCTGCAGCTGATGATAGATAACAGATAACATATATTGGATAACCTTCACCTTGCGCACTATCCTCTCAGGTGTGGCATTACAGTGATTGCCAACCTGACTGCACTAATACTAGTGGGGCGGAATAGCAAGAAATACCCCTAGAATCGTGCATTTCTGGATAAAAGCATGAAACTTTCAGGAAGTCTTCTACACCTATGAAGAAACGAATTTAGCCTGGGTGCCCAGTTCTATGGGGTCCCAGGGGGGCAGGGGGGTGGGGGAACCCTAAAATCATACAATTCATGTTTTGCTGTGAGAATTTTTGTACACAAGTGAATAAAACTGATTGAGTTTGCGGAATTAATCCCTTTGAGGCCACCTCAATACATATTGGAACGATTTTACCCACTAATCAACCAATTTTGACCAAAAGGTTGCTTGGAGGGGAGGGGGAACCTGAGATTTAAAGCTCCGATTTTCTTGTGAACTACGAATGCGTAATTAAGGCTTATAACAACTAAATCCATTAACCATTATAATTTTACATTTCCGAACTGTTTCAAAATTGATAAAAAAAAAATCGTCATGGCCCGGGGGGGGGGGGGGGGGGGGGGGGGAGCGAAGCGCAAGCGCACACCGTGCGAAGGCGGCACAGCGTGCAATAAGGCTCTCCTAATATAACGTCTATGTTGCGCCGCATTTTTTATACCGCATTTTCGATCGTTGCACGTATCTTACGCTCGGTGAAGGGAGAGGGGGCTCATTTTCAACCCCTATTATAAAAATATGAAAATAAAAAAAAAAAATGGAAACGAATGATAACATTCACCGATCCAAGAGATTATCATTTAGTGTGTTCCCTCTCATTTTGGATTAGAAATCCTTCTCGATGCTATCAGGATAATTTACAGTTTCGTTCTCATTATCATCATTACCAGTGTTATAGTTTCCCATTTACTACTACTGTGCTGGAGCAGGTACCCCCCTTCCCCATCTTCCCCTCAACAATATTCTGCTTGGCGAAGGCATCGCAAACGTGGTGTCAAAGCTGCGTGCATGGGTGGCAGTTCATCAAAAACCGACGTTTTTTCGTAGAAACTTCTTTACAGCACTTTATTCACGGAAGGTTTCATAGTTTTAATTTATCATACATAGCCACAACGAACTGTTTGATGACACCACATTAGAGCCTTTCAAATGAAGTCATGAAATTTGTTTTAAATTTGTGCACTTTTATTTTTAAGGTGTTGCACATTTTAGCCATTCCTGTTATCGTGAAATTGCCCTTTAAGATGATTCGATGTATGCCATATTTGTGTCAGAACGGCATGCAGTATATCACATCAATTAGTTACATTTTTTCAGATACTCGTCATTTTTATCGAATTTTGCGATCACAATTCTGTTGTCAGGAGACTAAAGAATTCAGTTACCAATTTTGACAATGAAATTGAACGTCGGTAATTAAGGCGTGGTTTTTTAGAGAAAAAATATTGCAATCTTGACTGATATTAAGACGGCACTCAAATGCGATATTTTTCCTCTCAAAAAACCCCGCCTTTGTTATGTTGAATTTTTTTGTCAAAATTGGTTACTGAACTCTTTGCTCCTGACAATAGAATTGCGATCTCAAAATTCGAGAAAAATTATTAATGGCTAAAATAATGGAACGAATCGATGCAATATATCGCACGTCGTTCTGACACAAAATATGGCGTCCATCGAATCACCTTAAGAGCTTTTAAAACCGCAACTAAGTAAGTAAAATACCAAATAAGCCTGTTACGTGTAGTTATGGTGTCCGTGCCACGACACCCATTCTTAATACCAAGATTGCGAGCATGCTGCCTGACGCACGAGGTGCAAAACTCACGATCGAACGTCGGAAAAGTCCAAAATAGAATTTGGGAGAAAAAAGTCAAAGTTTATAAAATCATGCAGTTTCACGTATGTGGACTTAAAATAACTTAATTTTTGTAACTTTTTCCTCTTGGGTAAGATGATTAAAATGATCAGGTCATCCCGCGTGAGGAGTTCATATAGTTGATCTTCGTGACAAAACGAGTTATATTTAAAATCAAAGATCGTTAAGTTTCCTATAAAACTGTGTTGGTGCATTTTTTTGCTCAAGGCAAAGTTAAACCCAGCGTCAAAAATTACTTAGGAGTCACCGGAAACATTTCTATCCGGGACTTTTGCAGGCTGTGACCTCTTTTTGGCTTATTTACCTATGGCCTAACAATAATGTGCGTCACTTGAAGGATAATTATTAAATTTTTCCTTTTGTAAATCCTAGCACAGCATGCTCCGTACCTATGAACTTATATTATGTCTGACACATCTGCTAGGCTTATCAAAAACGGCTTCTAAAAGTTTCTCAGGGAGCTGGAAATTAAAGTCGTATACTGTTCTCTTATATTTTTCTTGCGCACAATTTTTCATATTAAACTAATGAATGTCTGGCTTTCTTTCTAATTCACAGATGGATGTACTGTCATTAATGCCTTTGGATCTGCTGTATTTGAAGTATGGTGCACACTTGTCATACTTAAGATTACCTCGACTAATTAAGGTGAGCATCGTAATAAAGATTGGCAATTATATGCAGTATAAATAAAAAAACTCGACTCCGATACCTACCTACTGAACGGAGCAGGATATACCTAATATAGGTACCAGAATGAGGCAAAAATGAGAGAGAAAAAAACTCATATGTTTTCGGGGCCTTTATCAATCGTTAAAAGAAGGAGTCAAGAATTACAGACTCTGTAAATAATTAAGCAGAAATAGTAAATACAAATAACGTAACATGAATGGATACCTATAACCGCTCTTTCGAAAAGAGTTGCGGGTATGTTCAAATAAGATTTCATTTTGCTGTGGTCGCTATTTTTTCCGCAGGGCCAAACGCTTTGCTCGGTAATTTGTGCATAATATCTGAGCGAAATATTACACTAAATTTGCACCGAAGCTTTGTTTTCGATTTTTTTTCTTTTTCCAACTCATATTCTACGTTGAACGTTTTAAACGTTGAATTCGTCATTACCGTAACGTGTGGTCGGTTTAGTTAGTTAATTCCAGGAATATATTTTCCAATTGAAAGGCTGTTGAGGTAAAATATGCTTTCAACATACAACATAACAAATTGATGTATCTTATGTCAAAAGCAAAATTTCCTATTCCCTCTGTGCAAGAAGTAGCATGTTATGGTTGTGGTCTATTTTGGCGTCATTTTAACCGTAACCCCTATTTTCGAGCAATTTTCGACCGCTAGATGACTGCAGCGAAGCAGCATTCATTGTTTGTTGTGTTTCACTACAAAGAGGGGGGGGGGCAAGGTGAGTTACCATGTATGTTTTATTTTATCAAAAAGCAATGTTTGTTTGATGTAAAGGGACTGATCATGTTTTGGGGACCTTCGAACCGTCATCACCGTACTATGGTAAGAATTTAGTGATTGAATTGATTATAAGAACTACTTGATCTATGAAAGCGTATATAAAACTAACCTAACTTGTGAAATTTTATCTTCCCTCGCCGAAATCTCGTCTAAGTACCTACTTGTAATGAAAAATGTGACAAATCATCACTAACGTACGCATCATTACCGTAATGTCCGCCTATATTTCCACGGGTTATTCAAATGGGGATAAATATACGATAGAAAGCAGCGACGCCATTAATTAATCACGACTCTGAGAGGTTTGGAGGTCCCAAAAAATAAATTCATAGGTATTTATTTACCAATTTACCTACATTTTCGGGAAAAGTCGAACACCGAAAATGAAATCTTATTTGAACTGACCCAGTTAGGTATTGAACAGGGTAGGTGGAGGGAAGTAAAATAATGAAGTTTTACACCATTTATTTGTTCTTCTATTGGACTTGAGGACACAGTACCTGTCGCCTGTAAAAACTCAATCTTAGAGCTTATTCTATACACCAGCGGTTCAATTGAAAAAGTAGTGAACCTACCTACAAGACCAATGCAGAATATTTTAATCAATAGAAAAAATAAAAAATAAAAAAGAGGGAAAATGATACATAATAATTTCTTCTCAAACAAAGAGCCCCGCACCATCCTTATGGAAATCCCCCCCCCCCCCCACCCCCCCCCCCCCGGTCAAATCTGATGAAACTTTGAAATGTTGCTCAGCTAGTCATTCTTATCAAAAGCTCTCTCGGACCGAAAGAGATCCCACGTGCAGTTTTCGAGATATTCGCCGTTTTACAGTGGACTCTCGATAATTCGAACCTCGATAATTCGAAAACCTCGTTAATTCGAAGGAAAGTCCGTTTCCCTTGAAAATCTCTCGATACTTCGAAAGAAATCAATGTATTTTTCTCCCCTCGTTATTTCGAAATTTTTAAGCTGGCGCGGCCCTCTATAATTCGAAATTGCAACGTAAATTCTCTCTGTAATTCGAATTTTGGGAAGTAAATATGGTCCCCCCTCTATAATTCGAAATAAGACGGTACCTTCCCTCTACAATTCGAAGTCAACTGTTTATGTACCTGGGTGTCTGAAAGAGCTGATAGGATTGTCAAAATGTAAACATGTAATTAATAATTTTAAAATTAAATATAAATAATTAATACTTAATAATAACTTAGTGTAATTTTTACCTCCGTAAAGAAATAAACTGATATTTTTGGTTCCTTTTGACGTAAATCCGTCCATTTGCCTCTCTACATTCGAACCTCTCTAATTCGAAATTTCTCAGCATGAATCTCTTTAATTCAAACTCTCTTTATTTCGAAACCTCGCTAATTCGAAGAAAAAGCCGATTCCCTTCAATTTCGAATTATCGAGAGTCCACTGTATATGCGCGAACGGAAGTCCCGCCGGCCGGCGGACAATTGTGCGGCACTAGTCGTATACCCTTACCTTCCAGTCCATTCCGGCCCCTCTCCGCTTCGCCGCCACCTATACCCGCGGCACGAACTCCGACCGCTCACGAGGATTTGCTCATCGTCACCGGCCTGGGTAGTCTTATCACCACCCAGATAAGACCAGCCGGCGGGCCGGTAACGATGAGCAAAGTCTCGTGAACGTCGGGGTCCGAGCGTCGAGAATGGGTGGCGGAGAAGCGGAGAGGGGCCGAAGTGGACTGGAAGGGAAGGGTACGAGTAGCGCCACACAATGGTCCGGCCGGCGAAACCTCACATGAAACAACGAATACTATCTCGAAAACCGCTCGTGGGATCTCTTTCCACCCTTGAGAGCTTTTGATCAGAATGACTAGCTGGGCAACATATCAAAGTTTCATCGGATTTGACCGAAGGGGGGGGGGATTTCCCATAAGGATGGTGCGGGGTTCTTCAGTAAGATGATACACATTTGGATAAAGAGATCCTTACAAATGACGACCATCTGATCACACACTAGAAAAAATAAGTACATTGTGTAGACTGCTACAAAGTTGCATTCCAAATGACATCAGATATCTGTGACTTCCTCATTTTGGAGATTCGACGCTAAAGTCTAGTTCCCTGTTTAAGAATACCCGAAGAGACAAGTATCATCAAAATTGATTCAATAGACTCCGAGATAGTATTGGCCCCTTTCGCCATTTTGGACGTCGAGAGTTCTGAAATCGAGATTTATCATGGAAAAGTATCCTAGATCCCACGTGTCACGCAAATCGATTGGATAGGCGCCGAGATAGCTTTTCCTAGATCAAATCTGCCGTCTGAGATGTTTATATTTTGCTTTGACGTCGAATTCGGATTTCTCGTGGCAGTATTTCTGGATTCCGCATATTACGCGAGTCCAGCCTGGAGTTACACAAAGAGTGATTTTGAAACACATTATGACAAATCCAACGTTGAACCTTTCATTGCACAAATATGGGTTCTAAGTAAACCATAATATTCTTAAAACATGAAAAAAATAATAAAAAAAACTCGTATAAATAGCAAATTTGCTCAAACTTGAACCAAATGTTGTCAAAATCTTAATTTATGAGTTTATCAATACCTGCTTGTAACATTATTGACCCCTCCCATAGATCTGTGCCAAAGCGCCGTGTTGGTCCGAGCGAAAAAATCATGTGACAATGTCTGCACCACACCGAGTAGGTACAATGTGAGGGACATGGGGGATTGGTGGGCGGACACCCCCCCCCCTCGTGTCCTCCCAATTTCTTGCGCCGTGTATGAATTGGTGTTTTCCCTACTTCATGTATACTGCTGACACTTTTAAATGGATATTGAAACATGAAATTACCATAAATTGGTTGTCATGTAAACTGTTTGTATGATTGTAAATATCAAAAAAAAGTGGGACAATTGGACGGAGTTAAACAGAAAGGAACCAAGCCACATCGGGATCGAACCGAGAAAAAGAGGTTTAAAGTTTGGCTCCTGCGTAAGACTCAATGTAAAAGATAAACCTAAAGTGCAATTTCTGCAAAATTTGCTCGAACAAAAACTTTGAAATTTTGGCGATAGATAGTAGAGCAGTGGTTGAGTTCAAAACCACTCATAACTCAATTTTTTCCAAAATGTGGGTTGGTTCCTTTCTGCTTAACTCAGTCCAATTATATGGCGCGACACTGTCTATTTTCCATCCTTTTTGAAACAGGAGTAGTATATGAAATAATAAAACTATAGGATTTTGTTATGTGCATGCTCAAAACATTTATAATAGTTTTGGTTTAAATTATGTCTCAGATCCAAACGTTTTGGGAATTTTTTAACCACTTCGACAGCGTTCTTTCCTCCCCTTACATTGTGCGGGTGGCTCGAACTTTAACATACATGGTGTATCTGGTGCATCTGAACGCGTGCGCTTATTACGCGATGTCAGTCCACGAAGGTCTTGGCATCAACAGCTGGGTGTACAACGGCATTGGAAATGCGTAAGTAATCCTTCAGTAGCTTCCGTGGTGATTCCTTCACCGAAAGAGGGTGTTACCAGGTAACACCCTGTTTTCTGTAAGGCTCGTTGATTCAGGTAACACTGTTACCTGAACCAAAGAGCCTTACAGAAAAACGGCGGAAAACCCCCCGTTTCTCTAAATGGGTACTTTTATTTTTAGAACGATATTCTTCTACGGTGTAATCCCAAAGTCCCTTCCGTCCCCTCTTACTTTTTACCTAATTAGGGCACATATAAATATTTGAAACTCAGGGGTACTCCAAACTCAAAGGGAGCTACTTTCTGCCTCCTGCTTTAAAGTAGACCAATGGGCCAGGTGCAGATTTAAACATTCTGTTATCCCTCTTGACTAGAATTGCATGTAGAACACGTTTCATTTAACGAAAATTACTGACATTAACTCCTAACATAGATGCGAACGTTATTATTTTTGGACATTCATTCACAACAATGGGCCTGTTGCATGCAAGAGATACAGCCGCGCAAATAGACTTTTTAGAGGTTAAATGACACGAAAGTTACGATGGTCACATTAAAAATGTCTGAAATACACCCCTTACTGCGCAATTTGCGTTGTTAGGAACGCGCTTTTTCAAATTTCCCGCGTCTGGGGGCAGTTTTCGAATCACCGGAAACGAGCAAATGGCGGGCTCGGTGATTTCCGGAAGATGCCGAGTCGTTGTTGTTGTTGTTATATTTTCCTTCAGTTTGTTTACAAACCCAACGTGATCTCTTATAGTAGTCCATATACGTCTATGCGGTAACCAAATCGATCAACTTTTAAATACCCAACGCAATCCTTCTGCATTTCATCTCACGATATCACGAGCTCCGATTTTTAGGTTACCTATGTCGTCAGTTTTAGTTGACCGGAAATAGCCGCGAATTGCCGTTAATTGTTTCCGTTAGGAAACTGCCCCCAGACGCGGGAAATTTGAAAAAGCGCGTTCCTATTAACGCAAATTGCGCAGTATGGAGTGTATTTCAGACTTTTTTAAAGTGACCATCGTAATTTTCGTGTCATTTAACCTCTAAATAGTCTATTTGCACGGCTGTTTCTCTTGCATGCAACAGGCCCATTGTAATTTATATTACTTAGTTGCGGAAAATTTCATTGAACAACAAAAGTCTATTTTGATCAAATCGCGCACTACAACGGTTTTGGCGAACTTCTTAACCGAGCAATTTTCTCTCCCTGCCTTTTGTTTTTCAAAGCCTTAACAATATTTAAAACAGCTGCACGGTAAACATGGAAAACACAGGGAAAACACGAAACACGCGAAAAAATCGATAAATTCAAACTCACAAGAGACCATTAAAAATTACATCATTAATAATTACAAAAATTCACGTGTGACCGGTGCAACACGTAGACAATCCATGCAACTTGATGCTATTGCATTGATTAGCAGAATCAGTGTGATGCATCTGTAGTGAGGGATCCTTATCAGTACCGATCACCTCCCCGCCTACCTGCGTGCTATCTCCTCAACGACACGGCGACCGTACCCAGAGGCGAATAGATGAAATACGTCTGTGACCCCTGACTTAGCCTCACAAAACGTGGTCTCTTAGCTCCGAAAATTGATAATCAAGCTGAAACTCGGGACATTGGTACATTAGGATGCGAGGAATCCATTTCTGCCATGTCCGGAAAAAGGGCAAGTACGCGTATGTGCCCCTTCTCTGGAATGCTCCTCAATTGCTACTTCGCCGGTATGTCTACAGAGCGCGCTAATTGAACGAGACTGAAAGGGGGGAGGAGCTCGGTAAAAATGGGGGAACAAAGAGGGAACCGAGGGACCACCTTTAAAATGAAGGAAATGAGAGAGGGGGAATAACTGGGGGAGGGTGCACCAAACGCCTTATGGGCTTTTTGAAGCTTCCTCAGATCGCGTCAAAGATGTGCATCTAATGACGCGTGAAATGCATTAGGTATTGGAAACTCTTAAAAAAGGTGCATTTATTGGTACTTACAACGAGGTAAATGATAAATGGTGCTTATAACTATGAACAATAAATGGCGGGCGGGGATATAGCAAACTAAAGGCTGAGTCGTGGGCCGCAAAAGGAGGGTGGGAGCCGGGAAACCAGGCTCCCTTCCAAAAATCTAACCTTGCAGAAGGACGGTGGATGGACAATCCCGTGCCATTAGCTTGGACTGTGCAAGCACGGACCGGGGTCGGAGGTGGCGACCGGGGGGATGACTAGGGAGCCAATGCCATTCCTAGCTTGAAGTGTGCAAGCACAAACCGGTATCGGAAGCGGCGACTTGGCAAGGTGAAGGGTCTATGGAGAGAAGCAAGGAGGAATCGAATAGGCACTTGATCCGTCCGCGCTCATACGTCGCAGGAGCAGAGGCAAGCCGATCTATACGAGGAGCTGTGTGAGAGGCTCGAGGGCTACCGGCCCCGGCCGCAAACCCCATGAAGCAAAACATGAAAATCTGTTGAGGAACGCGAACCGAAACCAGACAGCGAAATCTATTGGCGAAGTATGGATACAAAATGTGGGAGTGAGAGCTTGAAAGGGGGCAAATGTGTGATGGCGCAAGGAGAGGCGAGTGAATCATAAACACAGAGCAGAAGAGCAGGCTTTGAGATCAGAGGGTCTATGGGGAATGAGAGGAGGCACTAAACGGGGCGTGAGTGCCGAAAAATCAGTGGACGCAGAAAGGGGGGGAAAAGGGGGAATTCTCTTCGTAACACTGATGGCGCAGCCTTTCGTCACGTACAGACACAGCCGTAGCAATCGACGAATAAAAAAATGTAACATTTTCTGTACTGTGCGCGACAAGAAAATTGCTGTAAACTTAGCTGACAACACCTCTTATCATTTTCTACACTGAATGTTCATGGATATTTGTGGAATACTCAAAACATAGGTTTAGTGGCTGGATATCTTATGAACATCCAAAGAATCCCTGTACATATTCTATGGATGTTAATTGGATATCCAAAGATCACGGATATTGTGCGGATATCCACAGCATAATGTGTGCGATCTGGGCTCGTTGTTCCTTTTTTGCAAAATGCAATCCGACTTATAGATAGTGCGATATTCCCAATCTCGCCGGGCTGGCGCGCCGCGCCGTGACCGTTTTTTCGGTCGCTCCATGATGGACTGAGCGGACGGTAGACTGGGTCTCAAAGCTCACTATGCACAGCGCCACCGCTACCTTACGGGAACGCGTGTTTCGCGTTGATTCCTCGCGAATAATTCATAAATTTTTGGACTTAGCGTACATTTTCCAATCTACTATCATATAAATTATATTGTAAAGATAGCATTTTTGTGACCGAAATTACGGATTTTATAAAAAGACGGAACAAAAATTATTACCATCAGCTACTTTTTTTTCTCATTTTTCTCTTGAATCCATCGATTTTAGAGGGGAATATCAAGGAGCCCTTTTAAATGGGCGCAAATTTTCCTATTAAATCGTTAATACTTAATATATTTGAGGGAAAATTACACTCGAATGAGCTTTTTACCTCTGTATTGAGATTTTCAGTTGTCCGAATTGTAACGTACGGTGGCTACATTTCCAACTTTCTGTCTATGCGACTCCTGTGTTTAATACGATCAGTTTGTTTTATAATGACTCGGTTAATAGTTAGGAGGTAATTTCAGTAATTTTTTTTGACGAATCGTATTCTACGTAATATTTTGTTTAAGATACACGCACTAAAATGCTAACATTCGTTCTTTGTTTACCGGTATATGTCCAGGGGTCCCCGCCGTGGGGGAGGTGACAGACCCCCCCCCCCTTTTATCAAATGGAAAGATCCCTCTTGTGATAACTAACTCAGAAGACCATGAAAACGAAAAAAAAATTCGCAAGCCCGATGTCATCGGCAAAAAATCCAATGTCTCCAATTTTCGGCCATTTTATTTTATACTTCAACCGGCCACCATTTTGGAACGGTTTAAGATTATGACTTCGGGTTTGCGCGAAAGTTTCACAAAAACGCCCCTTCACTTAAAGGGCACTAAGTTGACAAAAAAAAAAAATCATAAGCCGAAATACCCAAACTTTCCTCTTCACGGGCATAAAGCCTATATTTTACTTAAAGTATAATGTTTTCAAAGACATCCAAAATCGTGGCACTGCCTTGGGAGTTATGCATTACAACATAAAACGGGGTTTTCGGCATGTTATAGCCAAAGACCGAAATCAACAAATGTTGGACGTTTGGCCAGGCAATGTTGACAATGGCCGGTCATTTCAGCATTGTCGACTTTGGCTGGCTATTGTCAACATTATCTGATTGCGGTCATTGGCTACGGCAGATATAAATCCTCGAGTTTTTGGTTTCTTCCAAAGACATTAAACTCCACAAATATGATTAGAGCTATTGGGACCTGGAGAGTAGGTTCGGTCTGCCGAGTGTGGCAGCACTTATATGGCCCACCGAGAGGGGTTGTCTCTCTAGAAACAAGCAATATACCTAGATATTCATCATGAAAACTATTTTTCTCAAAGTCTGAATCAAGTAGTTTCTCAAAGTATGTGTTTCTCGTGGTAACGTCCAAAAATGTTAAGTAATCTCAGTCGCTTGATTTTTTAATTTTTTACGTCATTCTTTACATTGAACGACCCTCCTAATTTTACTCCGCGCCCCAAGTAGCACAGTCCAACTAAAATTTTGAAATATTTAATTGCAATTTGATTTCAATAAAATTGTAATTTTTTTCCCATTAAATTTCAATATTTTTACATCATTTAGTCAATTTATGCCGATTTCAAAAAATCAGCAAAATGATAGCTCCATGTGTCAGAAATTTAAGCAATATGCAATCCAATGAACGATAGCAACTTACTTCGATTTTATTGTATTAAGTTTTGGCCTTCAGATTGGAGCTAGGCAACATACACAAAACTCAGTGGAATTGCAATATTTTTACTGTGTAATCGCTACTTATCGCAAGTTGTGCTACTTGGGGCCCAAATTGATTTTTGTGAAATTTTTTCAAAATTTCAGTATATTTTTTCTCGAAGAGTTTTCAACTTTAGGAGTAAAACTTTGCACAAAACCTTAGGTCTATTAATATGAGTAAAAAAATGTCATCAAATTGTCAGACGGTGGGTTCGATAGTAGGTTGAAATTGCACGAAGTATGACCGTGCCAACTCTCATACACATTCAAAATATGCTTTCTGATGCAGACCTTTGTTATCAGCAAGAAATTACCTAGATGAATTATTTGGTTAATAGGTATATCCGATGTTTTTATTTTGCCACAAAAACTGCAACTTCCATCGGGAAAAATCCACGGCCAGAAAATGAACAAGAATACATTTTCATGACAGTTAGTTGGCTCATGGGAGTATTTGTCTTTGCTGTTCTCATCGGTCAGGTAAGGCATCATATCAGCTGCTAACTTGATTACAAATTTTGCAAATAAAGTCAAAGAGCCGTATGCAAAAACGACATTTTTCGCCCCCCCCCCACTAAAACTTATTCAATCTTCGTCTATCAGTTACTAATACTGAAGCGCTTCTTTCCCCAAATTTTCAGACCCCCAAAAAATTTTGGAGGGGGGGGCGCTAGGGGGGGTGGAAGTCAAAACCTGTGACCCTCGATATCTTTCGAACGAAACAAGATATTGAGGCCCGATTTGGACGAAAAATCGTCTAAAATTGCATACTTTAAGATTCTAAAGGTCAAAATCCCAAAATTAAATTTTTAACTTAACTTATGTGTTTTTTTTCAGTTTTTGAGGAAAAACAATTTCTTTTAAACACACTAGACTGAAAAAGCACAATTTTGTATTTGAACCAAACCCAGTTTTTTAAATTGCTCGTCTTTTTTCGCATCCAACGAGTGGTCGTATAAGCTGGGGAACCGAACGGTTCCGGAGTTATGATCGATTGAAGTTTCCGCTCAACGCGCGCCGACCGATTTTCGCGCGCAAAAAAGTTGGATTTGACTGTTATAAAATCAGATTTAATGTTCAAACTGAGCAAAATGCATTATTAGGGACTCTAAAGGGTCGCTGAGTCCAGAAATTACAGATACTTCCAAAAAATTCACGTTTTTAAAATTACAGCTCCGTACAGGACCACTGAGCGGCCGGTCGGCGCTCAGTGGGCCTCTAAAATAGCGCTACGGAGCTGTAATTTTAAAAACGTGAATTTTTCGGAAGTATCTGTATTTTCTGGACTCAGCGACCCTCTAGAGTCCTTGATAATGCATTTTGCTCAGTTTGAACATTAAATCTGATTTTATAACAGTCAAATCCGACTTTTTTGCGCGCGAAAATCGGTCGGCGCGCGTTGAGCGGAAACTTCAATCGATCATAACTCCGGAACCGTTCGGTTCCCCAGCTTATACGACCACTCGTTGGATGCAAAAAAAGACGAGCGATTTAAAAAACTGGTTTTGGTTCAAATCAAAAAATGTGAAATTTCAGTTTAATCCGTTTGAAAGAAATTGTTTTTCCTCAAAAACTGAAAAAAGCACATAAGTTAAGTTAAAAATTTAATTTTGGGATTTTGACCTTTAAAATCTTAAAGTATGCAATTTTAGACGATTTTTCGTCCAAATCGGGCCTCAATATCTTGTTTCGTTCGAAAGATATCGAGGGTCACAGGTTTTGACTTCCACCCCCCCTAGCGCCCCCCCAAATTTTTTGGGGGTCTGAAAATTTGGGGAAAGAAGCGCTTCAGTATTAGTAACTGATAGACGAAGTTTGAATAAGTTTTAGTGGGGGGGGGGGTGAAAAATGTCGTTTTTGCATACGGCTCTTTTAGTGTAGGTACTTGTTTGGCAAATTACCTACTTCATCCAAAGCTCATCAGCCACCTGCTAAGAAGGTAGGTCAATAGTTGACACAAGGGTGATAACTGTTGCTGCCTTCGTCTGTAAGGAAATATTGAATCCCCAAAAATAAAAATTTCTTTCTGTCACCAATTGGTTAGAGAGGGGCCTCGTTGGCATTGTCATGGTAATAGGTATAGTGGTCTGAGTGAATAAGATGAATCTCATGATATACTCTTCCCATCACAGCATTCAGTAAGACCATGTTTTCTTCGTGACTAATCTTGGAAAGCTTTTGCCTCTTACCGTTGCTTGTTTACATCAAAGAAGACATCACCTGGGGATGCGAGTGACAATTCTTTCACTAGTCTGTACTGTTCAATCACTAAGTCAACTTAATGTCCCTAAATCAAAGATCTTTGACAATGAGTATTAGCTCGAATTTGGTTTTCTCCGAGTCTCTTTGCTTTTGCGTCAGAAGTTGTTAGAAGCACCATTCGGCTAGTCCATGTCTAACTATGTCTTTCATGAAAGGTATATACTCGTTCTATTTTCTTAGCTTGATGATTACATCAAAACAGTAGGTTTACTTTTGCTCCCGAATAGGTATGGAGAGTGAGTGCGTCCATTCCTCTTCTACTTTTATGTATTAAAACTTTATGTAAACATCAAATAGTGAGGCCTGCTATGTTATGGACCTATACCAGTGGTGTAGCTTCCGACTGTTGGATAATGTGTCATAAATTTGCGGTGTTGTTGGATGTTGTGTTACTGAAGTATTCCATCTTCACCTAGTGAGTACTTTTCAGGCTTATCTTCTAGCATACAGGGTGTTCGAAAAGTCCCCTCCCCCCTCTAACTTTTGACCTAATTGAGGTAGAGATTTGAAACTTGGAGGGTGATCCTAGATCAAAGGGAGCTACTTTTTGACCCCCCCCAAAATTTCTGGGGCCCCCCCCTTGGGGGGGTTACGGACCCTAACTTTTTTTTTCAAATGGGAAACCACTCTTTGTGATACCTCGTTCAAAAGAGCATAAAAAAAGAAAATTTCTCGCGCAAACCCGAAGTCATTATCTCAAACCGTTTCAAAATGGCGGCCGGTCAAAGTTCAAAATGGCCGAAAATTGGCACCTCTGCTATTTGCACATGGATTTGCTTGAAACCCGGTATCAGAGGGTATTTTGGCACGAGAAAAACGAATTTGACGTTAGATTTTTTAAAAAAACCCTAATTTTTCAAAATGGCCGCCGCTTTAGGCTCAAAGTGGCCGAAAATTTGACAAACTCGATTTCTTGCCAATGGATGCACCTGAAATTCGATATATGGGGGTATTTTGACCCAAGAAGAACGAATTTGACGTTAGATTTTTAAACAAACCCTAATTTTTCAAAATGGCCGCCGATTCAAGTTCAAAACGGTCAACAATTGGCAACCTCGACTTTTTGCCGATGGATTCGCTTGAAACTCTGCTTATCGTTTTTCTCCTACCCAGATACCCCCAAACACCGAGTTTCAGGTGAATCCATCGGCAAAAAGTCGAGGTTGCCGATTGTTGACCGTTTTGAACTTTAATCGGCGGCTATTTTGAAAAATTAGGGTTTGTTTAAAAATCTAGCGTTGAATTCGTTCTTCTCGGGTCAAAATACCCCCATATATCGAATTTCAGGTGAATCCATTGGCAAGAAATCGAGTTTGTCAAATTTTCGGCCACTTTGAGCATAAAGCGGCGGCCATTTTGAAAAATTAGGGTTTTTTTAAAAAATATAACGTCAAATTCGTTTTTCTCGTGCCAAAATACCCTCTGATACCGAGTTTCAAGCAAATCCATGTGCAAATAGCAGAGGTGCCAATTATCGGCCATTTTGAACTTTGACCGGCCGCCATTTTGAAACGGTTTGAGATAATGACTTCGGGTTTGCGCAAAAAATTTTCTTTTTTATGCTTTTTCGAACGAGGTATCACAAAGGGAGTCTTCCCATTTGAAAAAAAAAGTTAGGGTCCGTTAAGGGGGGCCCAAAAATTTTGGGGGGGGGGGTCAAAAAGTAGCTCCCTTTGATCTAGGAACACCCTCCCAAGTTTCAAATCTCTACCTCAATTAGGTCAAAAGTTAGAGGGGGGGAGGGGACTTTTCGAACACCCTGTGTAATTACCCCAGTGAAACGGTGCCCTTTGAAATTCATTGAGCGTTACGTCTATGTATGGCTCGCATACCTACCTACCTAGTTCCTAATGGCATACCTACATGTAATCGGGTACACGCCACTCGGGTGCACACTCCATAGATTCTAATATAGAGATTTTGCATACATCTGGAGACAAAAAAGATTTTGCATAAATCTGGAGACAAAAAATGCATAAAAGTTCTGGGAAAATTCGAAATAGCGAAAGCAGTAAATAGAAACGCTGGGCTTATGAACATTCAAACCGAAATTGATTCGGCCCAGAACTCTCTCTTCAGTAAATGTTGTGAACTGCTCTCCCGTGGAGGATAAACCTATCTCGCATTTATCCCCATCACTCACCGTATCCTTCTGTGTACCAAATCTCCTCTCAGTTATGTTCCTTTATACGCCCAAGTCACCGGTGGTATGTCATGATTCTGACCGTTGTAAAGTTTTCTGTTGTTATTATGAATTGTTATAATTTATTGTTTACCAATGTTATACTGACTTGACGCTCTGATTACCTATCGCTAAAAGCCGAAAACCTTCAGCTTATTTATAAACACAATTTTTTAAAATAAAATAAAAGTGAACATGACACCTTGCTCCTTACTCAAACTAACATACAGCCAAAAAGTTCAAAGCGAGGTTCAACTGGAGTCAAAAATTTTCAGCTCCAATGAGTACCAGTAGAAAACTGAGGGGGTTAAGATGAGTGTTTAGCTCAGGCAGTTTGCATTGAAATATTGCGTTGAGGTGAGGCCGAGAGATCTCAAATTTTGGGTCCTCTTATATAGGTACCTACCTCATGAGTGGATCACACTCGTCAGTAAGCCCCACTGAACATCTCGCAAAATCCAAGACGGCATCAAAGTACTAGTTTTGTACTGCAACTGCAAGCAGGGCCGGATTTACCTACTTGCCGGCCGCCCATGGGCCGCCTGTATTTTGCCGCCCCCTTCTCATTCGTTTTGAAACATCAATAAAAACCATCGAGTGAACGTGCCGGAAAGGGAGGGGTGCAGAAGACGCGTTTACTTAATCGTTTTGGATACATTTTTTGCGAAAGCCCTATCAACACTACTAAAGCAAAATTTCACAGAGCTTTGCGCGAAAGTTAAGTTCCGTAAACCTATCTCTATGTGGACAAGGTCCTCCGTTTTTAAGAAATGAACCAAAAAATTATGAAAGAACACACGTAAATGTGGTTTAATCATTTTAACTTCCACCGCTGCGCCGCGCTGATCGCACTGTGATTGGCGCAATGCGTGAAGTATTTCTGCGATCTTGTAGGCGCTATACGTTTCACGCCAACCGCTCCTGACCGCACTGTGTTTGGCGCAATGGGTGAAGTATTTATGCAGTCTTGTAGGCGCTAATATGTGTTACATGCCGATCGCCGCGCCGAGGGCTTGTCTTTTTCATCTCAAGTCCT